CGGGGGGGCACATGCTCCCCCTGCGACCAGTCCCACCAAGCTGGGGGGGGGGGTCCCCTAGCGACGGCTGATCATTGCAACCACTTCAGGGTGTGGCTGCTTGCAGGGGGGGCACCAGCATTCCCGCCCCCTCTGCTCATCACCTAAGCAGCGAGTGCAGCTAGTTGAGGGTACACTGGCGCTCTCAGGGGGTATATGTGCACCCCCTACGCGTCGCCACTGGCAAAGCCAAGGACAGCAAGCCTCATGTATCAGAGCCATCCCTGTGGACAAGTCCTCTTGGGTACCGCTGCCTGACATGAGCAGGGGTTCATCTTCACTAAGTAAAGGATGCAAAGCTTTGTTTTCCCAGCCTTGCTATGGGTCCTGGCAGACTCTAGTGGAGACTTCACTGCAGCCTGCTATGCTCAGGGTGGCTGAGGACTTTCTTTATTTTACTCTGGATCCCAAAAGCCACCAGAGCTCCTGACCACCACCTGGAGAACCAGCCCCAGCAAAGAGGCTGCCTGATCTCCAGCTCCAGGGCAAAACACCGTGCTGTGAACTTCAGAGCAAGTCCACTGAACTTAGTGTAGTGTAGATTGGCAGCTCTGTAACCAGGGCTGGCATGAGACCCGACTTGCTGCATCACCTCAGCAGAGCAGAGATGGGGAGAGTAACACCAGCCAAAGGAAAAAAAAAAAAAAAAACCCTTGGAAAACAGCAGTTTCCAAAAGAAACAAGCAAAGAGGGAGGCAGCCCCAGCTGGGGACTCTGTGCTCATGGAAGATCCAGGCTTGGCTGCTTTCATCTGAAGAGGTGAGTAACCCAGTCCTGCTTGGGATTGGGCATCAGCATATCTTCCCCTCCCTGTAAGCTCCCCATTCGGTCCCTAGAAAGGAGTCGACATCTGGAACTCGCCGTCGCTGGTGTCACCAGCGGATTCCACCTTCCCCGGGATCCCAGAGCAAGACAGGCGGGACACGTGGGGCCCGAGTCTCAGGGGTAAATCAAGAGTCATCCGAGTTGGCAATAAGAAAGCAGTCAACCGCCGAAGGAAACTCAGAGTACAGAGCAGAACCAAGAACTTCACCGTGTGATTCTTTCCCATGCTCGTCGGTTTAATTCATGAGTAGATCTGGGGTCAAAGGAGAACTCCCCTCTCCTGGATGGACACAGGGACTTTTCTCACCCTAGGAAACACACATCAAGCATCCTCTATCAGGAGCAGGTCAGCACATCCCACCCTGCCAGGCATCCCTCCAGCTTCCCTACACTGCTCAGTCATGCCCTGTGCTCTCTCAGCCTCCTACCGTTCCAGCATGAGATTATTCCGTGCCTCTTGCTCCGAGGTGGTTTGGAAACTTGTTCCAAATCCTAATCCTGGAGCTCAGAGCCATCTCTGCCTAAATGAGAGCCAGATGAGCGAAAAAGCGTGTGTGTACTTGTGTGCTGTTCTTTCCATCTCAATGAAAAACCTGCTGTACGTGATATCTCCCTCTAGCAGCTGGTCCACACAGAAGGTAAGAGTCTACTACTGCTGGCAGCTCTTGGAGCTGTACTCAAATGTTAGAGCAAGCATTGCACACAAAGCCTACCACAGCCAGGTTTGTGTTCAGAACAAAACACAGCCAGGAAACTCTGGGGAAGGTGGACACTCGACCCGTGCTCCCCGAGCTCTGCAGCTGCCAAACGAGCATGCAGCAGCTTTATTACAAAAAAAAAAAACAAAATAAGAATCACAAGGAATCCCACTGCTGTTCCACAACAAAAGCAAATGCAACTCGCCTGTTTCAATGAGCAAACTGAAGCTCCCAGCTGTTTTTATGGAGTGATTAAATTTGTGGGAACTTGGAAGGTAAGTAGATATGTAATTATCCAATAAGACAAGATTTCTGATGCAGCTTATTTGCGGCTCCAATAAAAACCAGTTAAGGCTTCATGCGAAACTCAAGCAGACAGCACGAACAGAAATCACAGAGTCAGCTACACGACTGAGAACCACTAGGGCCATTCCTTCCAAACACATTCCCCTGCACCTTGTGCACACTGGATTCAAGATGAGCTATTCCCCTGCCACCAGCAGTCAGCAGTGGGCTGAGACGTTGGGTGCTAGGAGGTCCCAGCCCTTGCATGGGTGACAGCACTCTCCCACGGTGTATTTCCCTCTGCCACGTGCACGTCATCCCTGATTGAGCCCCATCTAGACTTGTTCCTCCAGTAGGTTTGAAAGTGGGTCTCACACTGAATGCTATCGACTGCTAACTACATAGCCAAAGCACGGGGGGGCTGCAGAATGGCTTGGCAGGTCCTTAGGAAAGGCAGCTCCACACAAGATCCCTAGCACGCCGCTGGAAATATCTGCTGCACACATCAGGATAGCAGAGGAGGCTACAGGCAAGAAGTGAAGGGCATCAGCAATGCCCAGAGCGGCAACAAGGAAGGGCCAGGGGGGGCAAAGGCTCAGCACTGAGCTTAAGCAGCGGTACTAAAATACAGCAAGCTGCTTAGTGGGGTGGGCTCAACTGTGCTGAGGACCCAGGGCTGAGCAGCGGGATAACCTAGGCCCTGGACTGAGCTTTGGTGATATACGGTCTGATTCGCATTGACTTCCTGATGTTGTTCTGGCAACATCAAAAGAGCAGGAAACAAGATGCAGATCAGATGCCCTGGTATGTGTAGCTGTAGCATTGCATACAAGCTCCATGCCAACGTGATCTACTGGAGGCATTGCAGACAACAGAAAAGAAAGGAGGCTGTGCTGCTGCAGCTATCCTTTGCTTTCCAGGCCTTGCCAGGAAAACCTAGAGCAGTCTTGAGGCTGCTCCTTTACCAGAAGCTGCACAGGACCCTGCCTCGCTTGGAAAACTGAAGGCACAATGAGGCCTTCTGTTTGCTTTCCCCAAGCATAAAGACAGGAGGATTTGAGAAACAGGGAATGGGAGCATGGTGTCTAGAAGCTGAAAATCTGCGAAGGCACAGATCACTCTGCAATTACACAGATCCCTGAAGTCAATGGGACAGCAGGAAGGCAAATGCCTGAATTCAGCACTGCAAATCAGTATCTCACGGCCAGACAAATAGCATCACACTCCCTCTGAGCCGAATGGAAGCTGCTTCCCGGGGGCCTTGTCCAGGAAGATGGCACTAAAGTCCAGCTAAAGAGGGCAAAGAAACCCAAAGGGAATGAAATACAAACCCCAGCCAAGGGCTACCAGCTCCTACGATCTTATCACACTGGCTCATCAGAAAGCCCCTACCAGAGTCTCAGGTTTATCAGGGGAAGGAGGAAGACAGAGCATAATTCTAACCTCAATGACTTTGGAGAAAAGCTTCAAAATTGACCCATAAAGGCTTGCAAAGCAGAAGGCCAAAAAATCAAACCCAAAGCTATTTAAAAAAACCCCAAAAACGAAAAACCCAGTCTCATCAGTTTTGAGCCTGCCTCATGATTTTTGGGCTGGGAACAACCCTGAGGTGTGCAGGGGACAAAA